AAAAAAGCAGAAAGGTGGTCTGGGGCTGGGGCTCAGTGGTGAAGCAGCCCCTTAGCACATGTGAGGCACTGGGTTCGATTCTCAGCACCACGTAAAAAATAAGTGGATAAAATAAAGGTATTGTGTCCATCTACAACTAATTTTTTTTTTAGAAAAGCAGAAAAGACCTCATACAAATGACCTATCACACACCTCAAAGAACTAGAAAAACAAGACAAACCCAAAATTAGTAAAAGGATAGAAATAATAAAGATCAGAGCAGGAATAAATGAAATAGAGATAAAATTACAAAAGATCAACAAAATGAAGAGCTGATTCTCTGACAAGGTAAACAAAATTGACAAACTCTCAGCTGGACTAACTAGGGAAAAAGAAGACTCAAATAGTTAGAGATGAAACAGGAGAAATTAGAACTGACACCAAAGAAATACAAAGGATTTATATTAGCAAGTATTATGAACAATTATATGCCAGAAATTTGATAATCTGGAACCAATTGGTAAATTCCTGGACACACACCTTACCAAGATTTGATCATGAATAAATAAAAAACATGAAGAGATCAATAATGAGCATTGAGACTGAATCAATAATTTTAAAAAATCATGTATCAAAGAAAAGCCCAGGCAGCAAGGGAAACAATCAACAGAGTAAAGAGACAACCTACAGAATGGAGAAAAAAATATCTGCAAACTATATACCTGACAAAGGGTTAATACCCATAATATATAAGGAACTCAAACAACTCATTAGCAAAACAGCAAGTAATGAATTAAAGAATGGGTAATAGACCTGCATGGACATTCCTCAAAGGAAGATACACAAATGGCCAACAGGTATAGGAAAGGCTTAACACCACTAATCATCAGGGAAATGAAAATCAAAACCACAGTGAGATACCATCTTGCTCCAGTTAGAATGGCTATTAGCAAAAAGACAAAAGGGGACAAATGCTGGTGAGGACATGCAGAGAAAGGGACTCCTGGGCTGGGGTTGTGGCTCCATGATAGAGCGCTTGTCTAGCATGTGCAAGGCCCTGGGTTCAATCCTCAGCACCACAGGGGGAAAATAAAAGGAACCTCTATATTACTGTTGGCTGGTGTAAATTATGTACAGCAATTATGTAGAACAATATGGAGATTCCTCTAAAAATTAAAAACAAATCTACCCTATGATCCAGCTATCCCACTTCTGGTTATATTTCCAAAGGAGATGATATTAGCATACCAAAGAGATACCTGTATGCTCTTGTCTATTGTTGAATTGCTCACAGTAGCTTAGATATGGAGTCAAGCTGGATACCAATGAATGGATGAATGGATAAAGAAAACATGGTACATATCCACAATGGAATGCTATTCAGACACACACACACACACACACACACACACACACAAATGAAATTCTACACTTGACACAACATGGATGGAACTGCTGTAGAACATTATGTGAAATAAGCCAGCACAGAAAGTCAAATACCACATGATCTCACTTATACATGGAATCTAAAAATGTTTTAACTCATAAAAGTAGGTGGGGGATGGCAATAGAAGCTTAGGGGCAGGGTTTGGAGAGACGTTGATCAAAGAATGAAAAAGCTGATTGAGACTGGAAGACGCTGAGGAGTTCTAGTGTGTAACATGGGAAGTGTAGCTAATACCAATGTATTACATATTTGAAAATTGCTATGAGTGTAGATTTTACATATTCTCACCACAGGAAAATGATAACTATGGGAGGTAATGCATCCGTTAGTGAGCTCAATCTAGCCATTGTACAATGTAAACACATTTCAAAACAACACGTTGTACATGACCAATATTTACAATTTCTATTTGTCAATTTAAAAATAAAGAATTGGGAAAAAAAGATGTTTGAGTGGCCAATAAGTACATGAAAAGATGCTCAACGTCATTAGTCACCAAGAGAAATTCAAATCAATACCCCAAGACGGTACCCCTCATAAGGGCTGAAATTGAAAGGCTGAGAACATCAAGTATTGGCAAGGACATGGAGCAGATACAATTCTCATACATTGTTGGGGACAGTGGTAACACGGTAAAGCTGCTTTGGAAAAACTTGTTGCAATTGCTTATGAAATGAAACACTCGTAGGTTCTGTAACCCACCAGTTCCACTCCCAGGTAATTAATTATCTTGAGTGAACTGAAAATATATATTCACAAAATCAGTTTTTCATGATGTTTGTTTATAGCAGTTTTTATTCATAATATCACCAGACTGGAAACAGATCAGGCTTGTTCAAATATAATTTCACTGTATATCTGATAGCAGTCTAATATCCAAAAGAGAAATTTACAACACACCAAAAAGCACTTACAACACAAAAAAAAAAAACACTACATTTCAATAAAAATGGTGGGGTTGTGTCTCAGTGGTCGAGTTCTTCCCTATCATGTTTGAGGCACTGGGTTCGATCTTTAGCACCACATAAAAATAAATAAATAAATATAAATGTCCATCAACAACTAAAATCACATTCAAAAAGTCAGCTTTTAAAAAAAATGGGTAAAGTATTTTAATAGATATTTCTCCAAATCACAAATACAAGTATCCAAGAAGTACATGAAATGATGTTCAATTTCATTATGGAAAATAAAATATAAACATCAGTGGTACCACTTCATACTGATAAAGATGGGTATTATAAAATAAAACAAAACCAGTCAATAATGAGTTTTATTGAGAATATGGAGACCTTTGGATCCTTGTATTCTGCTGTTGAGAATGCAAAAGTGTAGAACTGTATGGCAGTTTCCAATAAGGTCAATATATATTTACTATTTGGCTCAGGCTTTCTATTTCTAAAAATATGTTCACCCAAATACTTATACTCAAATATACATAATAGCCTTATTCACAGCTGTGAAAAGATGGAAACAATCAAAATGTCTGTCTATTGATGAGTAGTTTTTAAAAATGTGGAATATGATTCAGTCATGAAAATGAATTAAGTACTGATTCATGTTACAATAAGGATGAGCCCTGGAAACATTATGAGAAGAATAAGAACATAGACACAAAAGGCCACTCATTCTATGATTCCTGTCATGTGAAATGATTGTAATAGGTAAATCCATAGAGACAAAGTAGCTTAGGGGTTGCCTGGTTCTGCTGGTAGTCACAGGATGGCTTACAAGTACGAAAATGAGATATCATTCAGTTGATGGAAATGTCTAAAGTCAGATTTTAATGATGGCTACACCTCTTGATAAGTTTGCTAAGAATCCTTGAAGTGTACAGTCAAAACAGGCCAATTTTATGGTATGTAAAAGATATCGCAGAAAAAATTGAGCCGGGGGCGGTGGCGTACGCCTCTAATCCCAGTGGCTTGGGAGGTTGAGGCAGGAGGATCATGAGTTCAAAGCCAGCCTCAGCAAAGATGAGGCCCTAAGCAACTCAGTGAGACCCTGTCTCTAAATAAAATACAAAATAGAGCTGGGGATGTGGCTCAGTGGTTCAGTGTCCTTGAGTTCAATCCCCAGTACCAAAAGGGAAAAAAATAAAGGAAAAAATAAAAAAAACAACTAAGAACATCCTAGGAAGCAAAGAAAAAAACAGGTCATCTCTTTGATGATTTGTGAGAGACCATGCAGCGCTCCTTAGGCTACCGTCTGTTGTGGCACTGCTGACTGTGATTGGGTAAGTGGTTTTCTTCTGAGGTCTGAGAGTGAAGCAGTAATTTTGTATTTTAAAATTTAAAACTTTAAAAATAATATTGCTGGTTTGAAATTTGGAGTAGTGGGGTGGGGAAACAGATAGATTTGAAAAATATTCAGCATGTGGAAGTGACAAGATTTTATACTGATTACATATAGACAGTGGAGGTGCATGAAGATGCCTAATACTGAGTATGCTTGAAGTTGCATTCCTGGCACAGAGCAGACATTTGTTGATTGTCTTTGGAGTAAACAAATAGGGTATGATGAATAGGGTAAAAATAGATGAGCAGAATAAAAAATATGGCTAAACAAAGCAGTCACCCGTTCTTGCCAAATGGCCAGTGCTAAACTCACCCTGAAGGCTGGTCAACAGATGTCCTGCACGATTTCCATCAGACCGTTTGAGAAATTATCAGGCCTCTCCCTCACCCAGAAAAAACATTCACTATATATCAGGTCCTCCTTGCTAGAACCTGCAGGTGTGGCACAGGCTGGGCTTCCCCAAGAGTCTTATCCTACAAATTTATGTGTGGTGCAATGGCAGGTTCATGCCCAGACCATATGAGCATGAGGCACATTTGGCCTTGTAGACAGAGGGTCACAGTGGTAGCCAGTCAGTTGATCTGTTTGGTTAGGCTCCAAGCATCCACCAAAGAGTTTATTAACTCACCACCCCCCAGCTTTGGCATATAGAAAATACAGCTGTCTGAAACATCTTAAACATGGAGTGATTGGTTTGGATATTTTACTGCCTTCTCAGAGTTGACAAGCACAAATGCAGAAATACTCATCATTCTTGGTACATACACCAAAACAAGGAAGTGATTGGTGTCAGTTCACACTGCCAAGAAATGAAGAAATGGGAGGGGCATACTAAAGAAGCCCCCAGACTCTACCACTCCAGTGTGCATTCCCAGGTTACAGAAGAGAAGTGAAATTTGCAAGCCAGAACTGAAATCTGGCTGTGTGGCCGAAGAATTATGGGTGTATACATTTGATGAAGTACAGTTTTTTTAAAACCCTGTTTTAGTTGGTATCATTGGATAAACATCCTTTTCAATGATAAAAATTCAAGTCATTTCTGGCCCTTTTCCTGGAAAAGCTGTGAGGTTACAGGAACAGCCATAAGAGGCCCTTTTCTGGGCATGGAGCCCAGAACTCTAAAGAACATCTGGCTGGCTTGATACATAGAAGCCAGCTCTGCATGCATGTATTTGTGTGTATGTGTTTCTCTTGTGCTGACTCATGGCATTGAAGCCTTTCTGGAAACACCCCCAGACTTCTGGCCATCCACCCCTTGAGCTCCTCCTTGATTCAAATGTTAGATCAAGAGGAAGAAGGAAAACAAATTGAAGAGCTGCTCTTAGAAATTTCTGTGTTCCACCTCTTTAAGAGGAGAGACTAGTCCCAAGTCTGACTCAGTTCACTGAAAGTAACTCTCTTCTTAACATTCTTCTAGCCTTTGGATAAAACTGGAAGAAGAGGACACTCAAATTTTTGGTTCTGAAAACTGGAACTAAAACAGAAAGATGGCAAGCCTGAGGACCAACACTCAAACAGACCCTGAAATTGAGCTTTTTGTGAAGGTAAGTTTTTTAGCTATAATAACAGCATACAGAATGTATTATTGACATAGTGCCTAAGCTTCTAAAAACAAGCTCAATATTTGGGCTAGAGATGGAAAAGAACTTTGTAATTTTTTCCTACTCTTAGTTTTAGAAGAATGCCTGGATATTTGGCTATTCTTGGATGACAACCAAAAATAGATTTTATCTTAAAAACAGAAGATGATATGGTGGAAAGAGCACTAGACTAGTTGGTAGTCAGAGTAACTAAATTCTATTTTCAGCAGCTTCCTATGTAATCTTCAGAAAAATATCTCTTCCTGAAGACCTTTTTTTCCTACATCTATATGATGAAGGAACCTGACAAAATGATCCTGAAGGGCTTTCCAGCTCTCAGAATCTGGATTTTATGAGATAGGTTTTGGAAGGTTCAAATGAGTGGAAGAAAGGACCAAGAATGACTTGAGAATTCAATTTCCACACAACCCAGATAAAACTTTCTAAAATTCTTTCACAATGGGAAAACATCATAGCAGAGTCACATAGACACTGTGGAAGAAAAAAGACAGTAGTCTGTGTGCCTGTTATGTGAAGAGCATGAGGAGGGTTCATTTTAGAATCCTGTACTTCCTCTTTTTGGTCAGCCTTGGAGGTTTTGAAAAAAAAGTTAAGACTTTTCTTAAAATTACTTTGGAAAACCCCTAAAGCAGGAAAAAGAAACATGCATTTCCAAATTATTCATCAAGCAAAAACATTTTTATATGGGTTATTCCAAGTAGAAATGAAATATTTTCCTAAATATTTGAGTACATTAACTGTTTAGTTTTACAATTTGTTTTTATTGAGTATTGGAAGTATTCAGAGTAATAATAATATAATAATAACAACAACTTGGTCCTTTTCTAAATACTTCCAAATATTTTATGTATTAACATACATACATTTATCCTAAAATCAAGTTAGGAGGTAGGTTGCTATTAATAGTAGTAATTATACAGTACCATCAGTAAGTAGTAATAATAGTAGTTACTACTTTATTAAAAGTTTTTTTATTACAATGTTGTGATAATATTGTACCTCCCATTGTAAGTATAGTAAAACATTAAATTTTAAGTAACTTGTTTCTAAAACTATACACCCTGTTTATGACTTTACAAAGACATAAAATAAGGTATACTTATCAGATGTTAAGTTAAACACCTGTTGGCCAAAGTAGTTTTTTTAAAAGTATTTGAGGTTATTTCTCAATTGATCACATATATACAATAAGGACATTATCAACCTGTCTTTTCAAAGACCAGTGAATTCCTACACAGCAAAATCATATAAATAAGTTTTTGCTGGGCTATGGGGCATAAGAGTTACTTTTTGTATCTCTGGATTGTAGCAAAACATGTGACTATTCAGGCAGTTAGGATAAAAATTAGCCTTGGTTTTCCAACTAGCCTTTTTACATCTACCAATTCCAAACAAGAGGTAATGTTTCTTCATAGGGCAACTAAATTGTTCCTTTAGTCTAACCTGTTTATTCATTCAATTAAGTCATATTTCTCAAATCAGCTGTTGGCATTGATCTGCATTTAATCCTCATAGACTTCCTATATTTGAGTGATAATCTGGAGGGAGAGGTTAGCAAATCATATACTGGATGTGTAAATGTTGCATTAAATAACAACGACTTACATTTAAACTAACCTATCATTTATTGAGTACTTTTTGTATGGGAAGCAATATGCTAAGTGCTTTATTACTAACCCCATTTTATGGATACATAAATGTACAGAAAGTCAAGCAATATATAGTAACTTTGTCCAAGGTCACCTAACTAGTGAATAAAAGAGTTAGAATTCTAACCCTTTAAAATAGTATGTATGATCTTATTCAGTTATTTTCAATTATGTGAATACTTTAGTTAAAAACTTCCAGAATTTCATCAAATGGAATTCTTTAGGTGTCATTTATCTAGTGGCATTGAAACATATTACAGATTTTCTGGAAGAAATTTGAGTTATATGTGGTCCAGGTTTTTTGTTTTGCTTTGCTTGAAGATGTGGTCCTCAGATCTTGTACATATAAGAATATACCACAGTGAATCTAAATATTGTGTATAACCACAAGATTTGGATCCTAATTAGAATAAGATATGCATACTCATGTTTGTATAAATATGTTGGAATAGTCTCTGTTGTCATGTATAAATAAAATGAACAAATAAAAAATGTTTAAAAGATCTCTAGAAATTTCATGGAAAATGCTGAGAGGGGACATAAGAATCAAGAAAGGAAAAATGCTAAATTTAAAAAATATTGTTCAATATTTATCAATGGTAAAAATTAAATGAATCTATGATTTCCAACGCAGCTACCTCTGGCTATGGTTTTAAAAACTCTACCATGACTTCTTCCCCATACTGCTGATGGGATTCTTAGAAGAGATTAAGACTTTCCTGTCACAATTAAGAATCTATATCATACAATGTTTATATTCCATGTAGTCAATGAAAACTTTGTCCTTCAACTCTGAATGATATGTACAAGCTTTATATCCAGGAACTAAGAACAGTGAATTTTATAATCCATATTTTATTTTCTCTAAATGCATAGCCCATCATGTTGGTTTGTTGTCCATTGTTAAATGAATGTTTGCACTCTCTACCAAACACTCTAAAATTAGGGTTTTGTGATCTGTACAGAAAATTGTGGAATGAAATCTTTGGGTAAAGATTGTGAATGTAATTCTTTTGTCAAAAGCATTGTTTAATGTGTTTAAAAAACAAAGAAGAGATTATACTCTTCCCTGAATATTCAGACCATTTTCAAACTCTCTTAAAACTATTATAAAAATTGATTGAATTAAAAATCCAAGAAAACTATTAGGAGAAAGCAGTGTTTAATAGTGTGGGTTCTAGTGGTGACAGTCCTGGGTTTGCTTAGTGAGAAGAATATGTTATCAACTCTTGACTAGATAAGAGCCTCACCATCCTCACTGCTAAAAGAAGAGTAATGACACAATCCACCTTGAAGGATCATCCTCATGAAAATTAAATACAACAATGATGAAAATCACAGTAGTCAGTTACATAGTAAATGCCAATAAATGTTGGCTATTGTTGCTATTATTATTTTTCAAGTTTAGAAACTTAGATCACAAACACAGATAAATAGTTGTTTTATAAAAGTTCACATGCTGTCTTTGAGCTAAAGACATTTAAAGAGGTAAGTACTTGGTCAGTTAAACTAGGGAATTTTTATCTTCAAATTTTATGTGATGGCACTTTAAATCAGGATAACATAAACAACAACAACAACAACAAAAACTTGAGTTTTCCTGTGAAACTTTGTTGCATTTCCCCCCACACATCAGTGTTTTGACTGTCCTTTTGCTAAAGGAGAGCCACCCTTCCTGCCATATCTATTATCAGACTTTATTCCTCTTCCTGCCTCCCACCCTTAATCATGTTTCCACTCACTAAGCCAAATTCTGATTGTATCCTTTCTCTAACTTTTGTTAAAAAAGAAATGCAGTTGGCAAGGTTGGTTGCCTCTTCCCATATCTGTTCACTCCCTAACATCAGAAGTGAATCACAATAAATATCATTTCCTCAGTCATGCCTGCTGCTAAGGAAAAGGAAAATTTGCCAAAACCCCGAAATTATCCCCAGGGTTCCTGGGACCTTAATATTTCTACAAATAACAGATCAAAGAATCTTTAAGACAAAGTGACTTTTATATTCTTCTATAGGCTACACACTAGTAGCTAAGCAAGACAAAACAGAAAAGAAAAATGGGTCTAACAGATAAGAGATTCTGATAACCAGAAGTTCAAGATCAGGGTACAAACATGATCAGCTTTAGGTGAAGGCTATCTTTCTGGTTTGTAAATGGTCATCTTCAAAGTGTGTCCTCACATGATAGAGAGTAACTTTCATCTCTTCTTAATAAGGACACTAATCCCAACATTAAGTCCCAACCCTCAGAACTCAACTAACTATAATCACCCCCATCTCCAAATAATGATCACATAAGGGGTTAAGGCTTCAACATATTGATTTGAAGGCAGGACACAGTACAATCCATAGCAGATGGCAGTGCCATTCAAAGAATTAGAAGCCCTAAAGAAAGAGTAGGTTTTGGTATGGAGTAAAGAAAATTGATTGAAATTCAGTTTGAGATATGTTGAAACAGGAGTGTCTCAAAAACCTAGGTCTCTCATGAGAAGACTACATCAGCTGTAGCCCTCTGAAATGGCTTACATTTGTTCCTCATTCCTCTTACTTTTGCCCTTGAGGTATCCCCGTTTCTGTTTCCAGATAATATACAGAGAAATCTCTAGAGTCTCAAAACATCAAACTAACCACCCACTGTCCCTCATAATTTGTAGTTTTTCAATCTCCAGATTACTCTCCCTTATTTCCTGAACATCATTGTCACTCTTTCCAATACTACTTCTATCATAATTCTTGGTGATTTTGATATCTGTCTAGATAAAACAACACTGACTTCTCAGATCCTTGACTTCATCATCTCTCAGTCCTTTCCCATGGTCATACCATTACCTTTGTCATTGCAATGTGTGCAATCCCCAAATAACATCATTATTTGAATTTTTGTTCTGTTCCTTTTCAGCTTTGCTATTTTAACATAGTTTATCAAATTGTAATTTACATAAGATAAAATGCACTCATTTTAAGTATACAATTCAATGAATTTAACATATATGTACATATATACATGTAACCACTATTCCAATCAAAATATAGAACATTGTCATCACCTCAAAAAGTTCTTTTTAAGCTTTTTGCAGTCAGTCCTTCTCACCCCACTCCATAACGCCACCCACCTACAATCAACCACTGATCTGCTTTCTATCAAGATAGATTGGCTTGCCATGTTTTACAATTTTTCTATAGGTAGAATCATATAGTAGTATGTATTCTTCCTGCATGGCTTCTTTGACTTAGCATAATAATTTTGTGATTCTCCCATGTTTTGTGCATCAGTAGCTCATTCCATTTTATTGCTAAAGTATTCTATTGTATGTATTTGCCATCATTTGTTCATCCATTCACACATCGAAGAACATTTGTATTATTGCCAGGTTTTGGATATTGTGAATAAAGTTGCTATAAACATTCATGTACTAGTCATTCTATACATATATGCTTTTATTTCTATTCAGTTAGTACCCAGAATTGGAATTGCTGGGTCATGCAATAGACGTGTTTAACTTTGACAAATGTTTATAAAGCAGTTAGACCATTTTATACTCCAAACAGCAGTATATGAGAATTCTGGTTGCTCTGTATCCCTGCCAAAACTTGGTATGATCAATCTTTTCCATTTTAGTTATTCTAAGGTGTTCATAGTGGTGATTTTAATTTACATTTCCCTCATGAACTAGTGATGTTAAAAATCTTTTTGTGTCTTTATTTATTATCCTTGTATATTCCTTTGTAAAGTGTCTAAATTTCTTGCCCATTTTTAAAGTCAGGTAGTTTGTTATTGAGTGTTATGAGTTTTTCATTCATATTTTATTTCAATGCAAAATGTTTTTCATTGTTAGGAAAATGTTCATTTTCCTAACAATTCTTTTGAAGATTTTATCTTTGATGTATTATTAAATTTTGTCTTCTCTAACTCACTCGCTGAATCACAGTCACATTGACCTTCTTTCAGTTCCTTATACATGTCATATGCAAGACTACTGCAAGACCTTTGCATATGCTATTCCCTCTGTTTAAAATGCCTTCTCCATGACTATTTACATAGTTAATTCATTTTTAAAAATTATTTTTAGTTGTGGATGGACACAATACCTTTATTTTATTTATTTTTATGTGGTGCTGAGAATTGAACCCAGTGCCTCACATGTGCTAGGCAAGTGCTCTACCACTGAGCCACAACCCCAGCCCCTATGTAGTTAATTCTTATTCCTCCTTTTTAAAATTTATTTTTTAGTTTTAGGTGGATACAATATCTTCATTTTATTTTTATGTGGCTACCCAGGGCCTCACACATGCTAGGTGAGTGTTCTACCACTTGAGCCACAACCCCAGCCCTCTTATTCCTCCTTTTAACTCAATTTAAATGCCACTTCCTCAATAATGACCTTCCTTAATGGATTTCACATAGTTTTCTCTGGGTTACTCTGTTACACACTCATAAAATGCACTTCCTTATTTCACAGAACTTATCTCTATTTAAAACTGAGAGTTAATTTGGGGGAATATTTTCATTTTAATATCTAGTTCATATATATATATATATATATATACACACACACACACACACACACACACATTATATATACACATAGTCTAGTATATGTTAAATATACTTATTTGTTAAGTGAGTACATATTGGGTAAGTAAATGAATAGTCGAATGAATGAGAGTGAATAAAAGTTCTACAGATTTAACTCAATATGTACAAAATTTTAAAGCAGAAAAATGATTGCTATTTCAATCCATTGGATAAAATGGTGGGTTTTTTAATTGAATGGTATGAGGAAACTATTAACTATTTGTAAAAAAAAAATTAAAAATACTAAAGTAGGATTCCCAATACACCTCTCAATCCAAAATACATTACAAGGGGCTGGGGATGTGGCTCAAGCGGTAGCGCGCTCGCCTGGCATGCGTGCGGCCCGGGTTCAATCCTCAGCACCACAAACAAACAAAGATGTTGTGTCCGCCAAGAACTAAAAATAAATAAATATTTAAAAAAAAAAACAAAAAAAACAAAATACATTACAAATAGATGAAACAAATGCAAAAAAATGAAACCATAAAAATACTAGAAGAAAACATGACAGAAGCTCTTTTTTGTTGTTGTTTGTTTGTACCAGGGATTGAATTAAGGAGCACTGAACCACATCCCCCGCCCTATTTTGTATTTTATTTAGAGACAGGGTCTCACTGAGTTGCTTAGCATCTCACTTTTGCTGAGGCTGGCTTTGAACTTGTGATCCTCCCGTCTCAGGTTTCTGAGCCACTGGGATCACAAGCATACACCACTGTGCCCGTGACAGAAGCTCTTTATAGTAAAATACAATAAGAAATAAATAGGTGAGTTTTTGTTTTGTTTTTAAGAGTGGAAAGTAGAGGCTTTATTAAAGGACAGTAGAAAAGACTTCTCCCAGAGGAAGAAGAGGACCCAAGAGGTGGAATCCATGGAAGATCGGGTTGTTTCCCCTTTTTATAGTTCTTTCAGTGATGGAATGTAGGTGGGAAGGCCCGAAGGGTGGGGCACAGGTGGGGCAAAGAAGTAATCTTCATTAACATTTCTTTGGGATGGACTCTGGGCCTTGGGCTTTTCCCAGACTTCATTAACATTCCAAGAGTTGTTCTGCTTTTCCCGGAATTCATTCTTAACATGGCCTCCATTTTAGATCTCACTCTACATTAGACCCGATTGACCTAACTACACTGACTACCTAACTTTAAATCTGGCTTCACTAGGACCACACTTGGATAAGCAAAGTGTTGTCTGAAGTCGTCCTGGGGGAAAAAGGTATGTAACCTTCATATGGTTGAGTTTTCTATGAAATCTGTCCTCAATATCAGATGGAAAAAGTCTTTATACAGGCTTCCTAGCCAAGAGATATCATGGAGCTAGTTTCCCACATAAACTGTGTACACAGAGAATAAATGTTTTCAAACACATTCTTATAAAAACAATAACAACTATGAATCATCGAAATTCAACTTAAGGATGTCTCACTTGAAAAAAATTATAAGTAGACCTACAAACTTTCAGAAATAGGACAAAGAAACAAAAATAACCCATATTTCATAAATTCTGCTTGTGTTGTCTGAACAACTTAACCTCCAACACATTAACTGCCCGCCATGTGCGCTCCATGGAAAAGCACCAAGAAGTTTGTTTCCCTCAAACCCTTTTCAAAAAAATTGTACTCATATTTGTGAACACTGGTCTTCCATTTGTTTTACATGAGGAGAAAGATCTCTGCAGGAATCTTCTGAATAAAGAATTCTAGTTTAGCAGAGCACAGCCCGCACGCCTGGATGGTGGGCAGCCTCAGAGCAGCGTAGGCAGCAGCTTCAACCCAAGCTCCCCCAAGCCCTCCTAGAGCCCCTGAGCTGCCTGGAACCCCTGCCCCAGCCCGATCACGCTAGGCCAGCCGGGCCCCAACCCTGTTGCCAGGCCCGGCAATGGCCGCTCCTTCCTGGAGCCCCCCCCTCCCGCGGCCCGAGCCTTCCTCTTCCCAGGGCGACCCCCCTGCTTCTGCATGCCGCCTGCCACCAACCCCATAAATAGGTGTTTGTAATCTTGATATATATACAGACTCTATAGAGGAGAAGAATGATATATATTATGTAAATTTTTTTAACCAGGGATTGAACCCATGGGCATTTAACCAGTGAGCCACATCTTCAGCTCTTTTTATTTTTTGAGACGGGGACTCGCTAAGTTGCTTGGAGCCATGCAAAGTTATTGAGGCTGGCTTTGAATTTGTGATCCAACTTAGCTTCCTGAGCCACTTGGATTATAAATTTAATTTTTAAATAACATGTTTTTAAAATTACATGTAACATGCATCACAAAGAGTTAATGTCTTTAATATACAAATAATTTTCCAACTCAGGGAAAATTTATCCCCTTTGTAAAGGTACGGCAAAACGTCAAGGGAGAGACCACCCAAGAGACTGACTCCATGCAATTGGCAAAAGGGGATATTTATTGGGGATCCATTCCAGCGCGCTGGGACTCTGTGCTCACTCAAGAAGGGAGAGCAGCCCAGAGCCCCGAGCAGAGGTTCAAACCCAGCTTAAGTACACTTTTGGGGGAGGGCGGGAAGCTTTGCATACATCAGAACAAATCATCATGAGGCGCGGGAAAATTGAACAACAACTCTGAAACGTGATTGGCATAATCATTGGCGGGAACAGGTGGGGCGGGGGTGATTGGTCATTCCTAAGCGGGTCACACATTCAAACTGATTGGTTTGGGCCCTGTGACGAACTGCACAGGGCCCTAGGCTAAATGGCAAGTAGGGTGTTGTCTTAACTATCTCAGGAATCTGGGTGTAACAGAGGAACTTAATAATACCTAATCTTTTACATTCAAGCTTTCCAGCTTAGAAACTTTACCCTTTCACCTTGATAGAAAAATGGAAAACTGTCATGAACAATTAATCCACAAAAAAGTCAAATGGCCAATGTACAAATGGAAAGATACTTTTCAGGAAGAAAATTTGGCAGGGTATATCAAAATATAAAATGTGTGTACTTCTACCCAGCATTCTTATTTTAAAGATTAACCCTAAAGACACAATCTCAGATGTAGGACAAGTTATATGTTCAAGAATGTATGTTGCTAAAGTCTATAGGAAAATTTTTGTAATATTCTAAATGTCTATCAACAAAATATGGTTATATAAATTCTTGTAATATAAAAAGTTTATCATTTATTCATCACACAATTTTATATATAATGAGATTATTTGATTCATTATCTCTCTTAGCTCACAGATAGTAGAATCCATGATGTTAAAGAATTCTTTTTTTCAGCAACTAGTTCATTTACCAGTAACCACTCAATACATACTTGTTGAACAAACAAATGAATGAACTGAGGCTTTTTTTTTAATCTTAATAGGCTGGAAGTGATGGGGAGAGTATTGGAAACTGTCCATTTTGCCAACGCCTCTTCATGATTCTCTGGCTTAAAGGAGTTAAATTTAATGTGACTACTGTTGATATGACCAGGTAAGAGAAATCAGGACATGTTAAATTCTGGAGATTGAAATTGGTAGACACTTGTGTAATTGTGTTTTTATAATGTGTACTTTATATACAGACCTAACTCTACTTATTTTAAATAATCACAGAAAGCCTGAAGAGTTGAAGGACTTAGCCCCAGGTACCAATCCTCCCTTCTTGATATATAACAAGGAGTTGAAAACGGACTTTATTAAAATCGAAGAGTTTCTAGAGCAAACATTGGCTCCTCCAAGGTACAACATTTTATAGGATATTGTTATATTATTATATAATCCATAATCTATTCAATTGGCATATCTATTATGAGGATTATTGCTAATTTAAAAGTGCTTTGGGATTTCTGGGCCTACATGTCAAATAAGACACACTTATAAACCTCCCTCTAACTTCAAATACATGAAGATGAGAAATACATTATTTTAAATTATTTTTAAATGTGTAACATACTTTAAAACAAGAAAGTAAATTTTCTCTGGTCTTAAGATAGAGAAGACATATGTGAGTAGAAATTAGGGGGTAAAATATTATCTGATGTCTTAAAATAACATTTATTATCTTACAGTTTTCCTTGGTCAGCAGGCTGGGCATGACCCACAGGGTTCTCTGCTCAGGGTCTCACAAAACTGCAATTAAGTTATTGGTCAGGGATACAGTTACCATCTGGGGCCCAGGGTCCCCTTCCATGTTCCTCCATTTTTTGGTCAAATTTAATTTCTTACAGCTAATATATGGCAGGTCTTGGATTACTAGTTCACTGTTGGTTGGAGTAAGCTTTCAGTTCCTAGAGGCTACCCGGTTGCATTGGCAGTTCACAACATGACTGTTTACTCTCTTCCTCTGAAACCAGCAAAATAAATATTTTTCTAATATTTCTCCCTTTTAAAGGCTTACATGGTTAAGTCATGCCCACCCAAGATAATCTCCCATTTGATTAACACCAAGTCAGCTGATTATCTACCTGATTATAAACATGATATCCTATCATGTTCAAAGTGCTCATCCATGATGAAGGGTAGGGCGTTTTGCAAGGCATGTATATATACCAGGATATGGGAATCTTTGAGGCCATTTTAGAATTCTGTCTACTGTAGCTGTCTAGAACCAGGAACCAAGTAAGACACAATTTCCATTTTTGCTTTTTTTTTTTTTTTGCTACATGAATTATCTTACTTATTTTATATTCATGAAGTTTTTCATTGTCTTTTTTTTATTCCAGATGCCTGTGGGGATGTCTATATCTTTGGATTTGATTTCTGATTCTCTAAAGTAAATTAGATAACCCTATTTTTACTAAACTTATACTACTATAATATTTTTTTACTTAGAGTTTGCTTAGTATATAATATTCTGGACTTTTATTTTCAGTCTTCCTAAAACACCTTTTAAAATCTTTGTCTTTCATGCCTAGAATATAGCAACATAGAATTGTGGTGGGGGAAGAAGACCAGATATAAACCCTAGGGCCCTAACACAACCTTGACTCACTATCTGTGATTCAGTTAGCATTATCAGCCACCACTCTTCCTGGAAAATGACTAGGTACACCCCCTCTAGAAAAGGATAATTTTGAGCCATTAAAATTTTATGCACATCTATCAGTCAATAAAAATTACTGGAAATAACAAGTGAGTCTTTTAAAGAATAGAGTTCTTAAATTTTTTACAAAGTCTAGTTCTTTTTATGATTTATGCTTTTTATGTCTTATCTAACAAAGTTTTGTTTACTTCCAGATCACAAAGACTTTCTCCTATGTTTTCTAGAAGTTTTATGTTTGTCTATTATATTTAAGTCCATGATCCATTTTGGACTTAATTCTTATATAAGGTGTAAGATTTACATTGAGGTTATTTTTTTTTCCTATGGAGGTGCAATATATGCAGCCCCATTAGCTGAAAAGATTATTTATCCTATTAAATTACCTTAACAATTTTGGTCAATAACACACTGTTTTGGTAAACTATAACTTTATAGTAAGACTAAGATATGTAGTACAATTCTTTCAACTTTCTTCATTTGCAAGAATGATGCTTATTCTATGTCTTTCCATTCCCATATGAACTTTTAGATTCAGATTGTTAATTTCTACCAAATTTCAAAATTTTAATTTGTATTTTATTAAATCTATAGATCAATGTATGAATAATTTATTTTAATAATACTGAGTGCTTTGATTCATGAATATAGTATATATCAATTTAAACCTTCTTTAATATGTGTCAGCATTGTTTATAGTTTCAGAGTGCAAATCTTTCACATTAGTCTAGTTAATTAAGTTTCATCACTTGGATTGCTTTTTAATTTTTTTTTAGTTATTGATGGACCTTTATTTATTTATTTGTTTATATGTGGTGCTGAGAATTGAACCCAGTGCCTCACACATGCTAGGCAAACTCTCTACCACTGAGCCACAACCCCAGCCCATAAATTTATTTTTCAATATCAGGGATTGATCCCAAAGCCTTGTACATGGTAGGCAAGTGCTCTACCACTGAGCTACAACTCCAGACCCCTGTTTGGTAGTTTAAAAGAAATCATTTGAAATTTTCCATCTGTTCTTTATTAGAATATTGGAATAATATTTTTAATTTCATTTTTATCTTTATTGGTAGATAATAATTGTATATATTTATGGGATACAAAGTGATACTTCAGTGAATTTTACATTCTGGAATAATTGAACCAGAGTAATTAGCACATACATCACTTCAAGTATTTATCATTTCTTTATAGTGAGGACATTTAAAATCCTCACTTAGCTATTTTGAAATATACAATATATTATTAGGTATTATAGTCACCTCACCACACAATAGCACACCCAAATTTAATCCTCTTATCCACTAGAACCCATTGACTAATGTCTCCCTTTTCCCTATCCACCCAACAGCCTCTGTTAACCACCATTCTATTTTCTGCTTCTGAGTTTGACTTTGTTAGATTCCACATATAAGTGAAACCCTATGGGATGAGTAACTCTGCCCAACTTATTTCACTTAACACAGTGTCCTCTAGCTTTGTCAATATTGTCACAAATGACAGAATTTCTCATTTTTTAAAGGCTGAATAAGTCCACTATGTGTGTATGCCATATATTTTATAGTTTTAAAAGAATTTATTAATGGGCTGGGGATGTGGCTCAAGTGGTAGTGTGCTCGCCTGTCATGCGTGCAGCCCGGGTTTGAACCTCAGTACCACATACAAACAAAGATGTTGTGTCTGCCGAGAACTAAAAAATAAAAATTTTAAAAAAAGAATTTATTAAACTGTTATAGCAGGATACATTTTTAAAATAAAAGTACAAAATATTTCTGGAAAGGATTGTCACCAGAAATGTTATCAACCAGTTTATTTTCCCTCTCAGTCCTCTGATTTTCTTATAACATGCATGTTTTTAAAACTTAAGCAAATTCTATTTGCATTCCCCTTTCCACTAATTTTACCAAACAGTCTATCAGTTAGAATCTTGAGCAACTGCTGACAGTAATCTAATTTCCTGGGTTCTATTTCATACTATCCCAAGCTTCTACTACAGTAGAAGTAATTACTTTTTGTTAAATTTCTAACAAAAATATTCTTGTTAAATGTTAGTAAAGGTTGGCAATTTTCATTAAAGGAATTTCCTATTAACCATGGTTAAAATGGGACCTTACATAAACCTGATTTTAGATGAAAACTATGAAAAAAAAAACAACTTACAATTAGGTCTTTATGTAAGAAATACTCTATGCAGCATGAGACAAACCATAGCTCTTACCTTTCAATTTCCTGGCTTAACAAGAAATAGCAAATTTATTTTGGGGAGGGATGGGTACCAGGGATTGAACTCAGGGACACTCAACCACTGAGCCATATCCCAACCCTATTTTCTATTTTATTTAGAGACATGGTTTCACTGAATTGCTTAGTACCTCATGGTTGCTGAGGCTGGATTTGAACTCACAATCCTCCTGCCTCAGCCTCCTGGGCCACTGGGATTACAGGCATGTGCCACCACACCCAGTGCAAATTCATTTTTAAAAGGGTATACATATACATTTTTAGTTTGATGATTCCATTTGCAATAAGAATCAATTCAGATTTTAATTACCATGGAACTCTGACAATTCTAGCAATTGCAAAGCTGAATTTTATCTAACTAAAAGCAAATAACATTCTAAGATTTCATATGTTTAACCTGTTAAAAATTCAATTAAGGGTTTGTGGCTTAGTGGTAGAGTGTTCGCCTAGTACATGCAAAGCCCTGGGTTCAATCCTCAGCACCACATAAAAATAAATAAAATGAAGGTATTGTATTCAACTACAACTAAAAAATAATTTTTAAAAATTTTAATTAAATATTTCAATCAAGGGCATACTATCTAAAACTAGTATTATTATCTAGTCATGAGTTTCTCATTACATTTTGCAGCCCCTAAATGTTCAGAATAAATGTACCATTCACATAATACTACAGTCCATAAAAAGAGTATGTTCTTTTCCTGGGTTTGCCATATTTTTTATATCCATGCAAATGTTGATGGACATTTTGGTTGTTTCCATAGCTGGATATTGTGAACAATGCTACAATGAAGATGGAAGTGCAGATATATCTTTAGCAAAATGATTTCATTTCTTTGGGTATATATCTAATAGTGTGATTGCTTTAATCCATGGGTTGTTTATAAGCATGGTTTTGATAGCAGCCAAAAACCTAAAAGGTGTGGTTTTAATTTTCATTTCTCCAATGATTAATGATAGTGAAGTATTAGAGTTCCCTACTATTATTATGTTGCAGTCTATATCTCCCACCAGATAATATTTGATTTATATATTTAGACACTCTTAACATTCTATGCATGCTATAGTTTGAATATAGATTTTCCCCCAAAGATTCATGTGCTAGATCCTTGGTCCCCAATTTGGTATTGTTCAAATGGTGGAACTTTTAAGAGGTGGTGCCTAGTGGAAGGTAATTAGATCACAGGGGCACCACCCTTGGAAGGAATCAATACAGGTCTCATGGAACTGGATTACTTCCCCCAGAGTGGGTTGTCATAAGGAAACCTGAACTATCCAAATTTCTCTTCTGTATGTGGTGATTTTCTCTCCCATATGCACTCCTACTATTGTGATACCTTCTTTCATGAGGTCTTCTCCAGAGCTGAGCAGATGCCAGTGCCGAGCAGATTCCAGTGCCATGGAACCTCTATAAGTGTAAGCTAAATAAACGATTTTTTCTTTATAAAATACCTAG